TAAATTATTATTTTAAGACACCCAAACAATGTGACCACTACATCCACAGATACAGAAAAAGCCTTTGACAAAGCAGAACATTCATTTGAGTTTTGGGGGGGAAAAAACTTATAGATCATATATTTTTAACATAAAAATAAATCTAAAACTACAGTCTAGGATTACATACAATGAGCAAACATATATCAGAACTTTTCTCAATGAATACAAAAGTAAAATAAGGATGCCCCTTTTTCCTACTGTTGACACAATTCTAGAAATGCTAGCGATAGGAATAAGATAAGAAAAAAAGATATAAATATTTAAGAGAGAGAAAAATATCCCTACTTGATAATGACCATGATGGGCTGTTTTTTTTGTTTGTTCGTTTGTTTGTTTGTTTTTGTCTTTTGAGGCAGCTAGGTGGCTCAATGGATAGAGTACTGGGTCTGGAGTCAGGAAGACCTGAGTTTAAATGTAGCCTCAGACACTTACTAGCTGTGCAACCCTGGGCAAGCCACTAAACCTCTGTTTGCTTTAATCCACTGGAGAAGAAATGGCAAGCCTCTTCAGTATCTTTGCCAAGAAAACCCTATTAACAGTATTGGCATGCTGTGGTCCACGGGGTCACAAAGAATCAGATACAACTGAACGACTGAACAATTATGACAACATAATGGGTTATCTAGAAAATCCTAGACAATCATTAAAGAAACTACTTGAGGCAATTAAGAATTCCAGTAAATTAGTAGTAGATAAAATTAAATTCACAAAAGTCATCAACATTTCTGGGCATTCAAACAAATCTGCAATTCCATATTTCAGGAGTTCCCTCTAGTGAGGAGATCACAACTGCCTATAATTGCCCTCATGTGCCATTCATGTTCTCCCAAAAGTTTGCCACAGGTTGTCCATCTAACATGCTGAAGGCTTTCTTCCCTTTCTCTCAAAACTATAAGGGAACCAGTGAAACGCTCTGGTTGTCCCTGTTATTCCTCACTCTAACCACAAGACCTGTTCTTTTTGTTATACAATTCTTCGATAAATCACAGCCTACTCGCACCCACCATGCGTCTCTCTACTGCCCTGTTTGATACCCATGTATAGTTCTTCAAGAAAGGGGCATTTCGTGGCTCACTGTCATGCAACAACTGCAGTAAAATGTTAATACTGAGAAGTTGAGCCTTTGCTTTTCTGGGAATCTTGGGGTCGGTAAAAAAAGTTCTGCAATTTCCAAAAAATCAGTAGAGTCCACTCACCTCCTTTTCAACCTTGGACCCAGGTTACCACTCATCTGCACTGCCTGTCCCAGTTCTACAAACCATATGGACAAACTCTACTGTGTGTCCAACTACATAGATTTTGAAATCTGATCAATAACATTCTTTCAGATTAAACTGGAGGAAGTAAGTTGATAGATGTTCTCAGGGCACATAATAAACAGGTTAAAGCTTACAGAAATATTTTTCAAACAAAAAAATGTCACTTGACCACTTCCTGGCCATTTCACCAAAGCCCTTATCTTGAACCACCTCTACCCCTCTGGAAATTTAGACTCCACCTGTGAGCCCTCCCCCATTCTAGTAGGGCCCAGACTTCCATGATTGTTCTCAGGTGACTCCTTACTATACACCCACTTTCCTCCGCCTCACTTTCTAATATCCTTTTATGTATCTTTCTCTATTAAAATGTAAGCTCTTTAAGAGCTGTTTTGCTTGCATCTGTTTCATTAGCACTTAGCACAGTACCTGTCACATAGCACACAAGTACTTAATAAATGCTTTATCTACTTATCTACTTCACTTGGAAAAAAATGGTAAAAGGCTGACGATAAATAAGTATACGCCACTGGAACTGTCAAATATAACAGTGGTTTATCTCCAGATGCAACTTAAAGAACAGCTAAGTTGTAAGAGCAGAATGAAAAACTGGGTAGCATTCACATGAACCACATAATATGTCAATAAAGAAGCATCAAACCAATGACTGAAACATTGAGATTTGCATATAGAAACAGAAGGGTTATCATAAATTTAAGATTACATCACCAACTTTAGAAATTATAGAAAGGTTATCGTTAAGGAATCCAGATATTTATCAATAAGGAATGTGTAATGAATCTGTAGAAATCATTTGTTGTATCATTGCAGGTTGTGGAATTTTAGCACTATTGAACAACTACAAATACATGATCAGGTGGCAAGAATTATTCACCAGAAACTCACTATTCTTCACAAACTACCATACAACAAATCTCGGTACTACAAATAAACCCTAAACTATCCTTGAGAAAATAATAAACCAACTCCTGGGAAAAAGTGCTATCCCAGATAAAACTATTGGCCATAATCACTGTACAAGGGGTAGGCAAGAATAGGAACATGGCCTATGACTCCACAGAAAAATGTAAACTATGGGGCAGCTAGGTGACACAGTGGATAGAGCACCGGCCCTGGAGGACCTGAGTTCAAATCCAGACTCAGACCAAACACTTGACACTTATTAGCTGTGTGACCCTGGGCAAGTCACTTAACCCCAATTGCCTCACCAAAAAAAAGGCAAAAAAAAAAAATGTAAACTACCTTGAGTAAATGTAAACAGGAAAAGAAGCTCCAACTATCCCATGGGCCATCCAGGCATCCATATAAATGCCTTCTTTGTTCTGTGTCAATCCCATTAACCCTAATAAAACCTACTAATAAACAAACTAGTACAAACCCTCTTTCTTTCCAACGTCAGTATTCTCTCAGAGGGTATGCCACCCTACAACTGGCATAATTAGGACAAGACAGTCTGTCCCCTTACAATCACCCAAACATATTATTAATCTTTAAAAATTTAAGAAAATGTTTTCAGTAGATGCTGCCATGCCAAATATTCATAATCTCCAATCAATAAAGAATAAAAAACCTTCAAAATATACAGATCTAGCAGAGGAAATCAAAACTATATGCAAACAGGCTACAGATAAACCTTAATCCCATATTTCTACTGGAGATATCCTAAAAATGCTTTCAGCAAACCTGCAGAAGGTAAGCTTATGTCCCAATTAAAAAAAAAATAGTTAGCACATGTAGTAAGCAGTATATAAATGTTAGCTATTATTTATCATTATATTATTTTACCCATCTATACAACAGACACAGAATATTAAACATAGAAAATAATATTAGCAACGTGTCGCAGGACAGTTTTTATCTGAATTCTAACAAGATGAGAACAAGATATTAACAACAATAACTTACATTTACATACTTCTTTTTAAGGTTTACAAAACATTTTCCTCACACCAGCCCTGTGAAGCAGGCAGTACACGTATCATGCTCATTTTATAAAAAGGGAAGCTGAGACTCAGAGAGGCTAAATGACTTGCCCACAGTTATACAACTAGTAAGATTCAGAGCTGGAATTCCTAAATGGAAATCTCACTCAGCTCATACTACGTAAATACATATAAAATCTTGAAAGATATCTGAAATCATTAAAATTTCCATTGTACATTAGTGAGATTGGTGAAGACCCCTCATAAAATTTAAACTTAAATGAGTAAAATAAGGTAAAGACCCCTAATAATAATATATGTGTACCCAGGTCAGGAAGCTTGTAAATAGCCCGGATAAATATATTCAAAATGTTGCAAAAGATTAAGTATAACTCCAAATTGTTCCAGGATCTGAAATAAACAAAACAGGATGTACTAAGAGGATACTTGAAGGACGGAAAGGCAGATGCAAACTATGTAAGGATTCTGTAATTTCCACTGCTGTTGCTGGGGTAGTTTTGTGGTGTTTAGATTGTGCCCTCTGAAGCCCAGCCAATGGCATAAGAGGTAGGGGGCTAGGGAGAGATTGGGGTTAGAACCTATAAAAGTGCTTGCTTGGCTGACACCACCTGCGGTCTTGCATTGAACTGCCTTTTGGTGCCAGTCACCCTTTCTGGAGATTGAAATAAAATCCTTTCTACTTTCTACCTGGAGAAGCCTCTGAATTAATTTGGGTAAGAGTCATTGCTGTCCCACACATACATCAGTAGACCATATTCAATACAACTGGAAGTTGTATTACACCAGTGTGCCTCAATTTCCCCATTTTACAAATGGGGATAAAACTAGTGCCTACCTCCCCATGGTTGTTGTGAGGTGTGTGATAATACTGGTTTGATAATAATAATAATATGCTTTGCAAATCTTAAAGCACTATATAAATGCTAGCCATTATCATCATGTTTAATAATGAAAAACTTGCCCGTTCCTCGCAGACATACAACTAACAGTATCTTTAAATTTTAATTCTGCGTTAAAGAGGCACGTTTTATTCTTTGATTACTTTCTTCTTAATATGCCAGAAAAACAACTCAAACCCAAGGGTGTAAGTGGGACCTGAGAACTTAAGATCTAAGTTAATTTTATTTTGTACTCCCTAGGCCTATGAGCACTTGAATAAAAGCAAATTCCTGGGTCCTTTTACGTTTGGCAACCCTAGTGCAGAAAACTAACACTGTCAAGTTGTAGGGCTGGTGCATATCTGCATGGGGAGAGAGTGTGAACCTAGGGAATTTCCCCAGTGAAACGGCAGGTCTGTCCTAACAACAACAAAGGAGTACAGAGCATGCACAGGCATGAGGAAGACCAGTAAAGAAAGGTCTGATCCGAGAGTCTGACCATGATGCTTCCCAAGCACAGCAAACAGAGCTAGGAACAGGAAAACAGAAAGAGCTGAGCAGCTCGCCTTAACTGCCCAAGTAATGCAATACTTCACGTTAGAAACCCAAAACGAACTACAACTCCCAGGGGGCAGTGCGGTGTACGGAGAACTGCAAGGCAGGACGGGACCTTAAGGGACTCGAGAATGGAAGAGAATGTAGCACAAGAGACTGTGACTCCCATGAGGCAGTGCAAACGGTTCTCCAAGTTAAGCACAACATTAACTGCAATTAGCGCTCCAGTTCTCGTCTTCGCTCTTTGGGTGGACAGAGAATAGTTTCCCTGGCTAAGACCAAGCAACCGCAACTCCCCCTCTTACCCGACTTAGTGATCTTCTTCGCCTAGGTTTGTCCTTCGCTCAATTAACACCACCAGCTAAAGCGTCTAAGCCGCCAGCTGTTTCGGGTGTCCTAGCAACCAGTCGGAGCTCGGATAGGTTAAACCAACTCTCGCGAGAATGAGAAAAGCCAAGTGGGGGAGGAGCTGAAAGGAAAGTGGGTGGTGTCAGGCGTAGAGAAAAGTTGAGATTGACAAGTCCGGGGAGAGGAATCTGGAGAAATATTAAAGGGGACAAGGCCATGACCTTCTGAGAGACAGAAAATAAATTGGCTTACGGGCCTTTGTACAATTCCATATAGCATAAACGTCAAAAAACAAAGCGAACCGCAATTTAATATCGTGTGTGTCCAGATATGAATGTTCTTTCCTTTCGCTGGGGCATTTTTATGCCTTCTGTCACACAGAATGCCTTGAAAATAAAAAAGCTGGATGCAAAGTGAAATGAGCAGAAACCGAGAACACTACACAGTAGCAGCAATGTTGTAATGATGATCAACTGTGAAAGACTTAGCTACTCTGTTCAAGACATTTCCAAAGGACCCATGATGAAAAATGCTAGATACCTCCAGAGAGAGAGATCTGATGAACTCTGAGTGTTGATTGAAGCATACTCTTTTTCACTTTATTTAGAGAGGTATTAAGTTTCTCTTACTTAGCAACAATATTTTACCCACTGTGACTGCATGTGGACATGAAGAACAGCCTACATGACATTTTATGGCACTATAATATAAGCAGTCCAAATCAACTCCTGCACCACCTTCCTTAAATTTACAGAAAAGGTGGTGCATTACTACATCAGTAATCTAGGGAGGGGATATAATATCTAAATTGTGCACCGGGTGGTGCTCAAATCACCTGCCAAGTGGCCCTGTCAATAGTCTGGCATGCATGCAAGAGGGCTGTCCGTGCCTCCAAATCTCATGGCTACAAGCCAGTTTGAACACAAAAAAACTCATGCTGTCTAGATTCTGAATTTAGATAGTTGAAGAAATATTGTTCAGGAGTAGTTAAAAATTAGAAAATCTATGGCTCTACCCCATCTTTGAACAACCCTCTATGTTCGCAGATCACAATCAATTGGCATATTGTGACCATGGTGTTTATCAGACAGTGCAAAAATGAAAGAAAAGTATGTTAGGCACTTCCACCTGAAGACCCTCCTCTTAACAATCTTCTCCTGCAACTCTTCTTGATTACCCTCCCTACTCGTGAGTACAGCCAGAAACCACATTTCATTGATAGATAATGGAGAAGGAACAATGAGGCAGATGTGTGAACTTGAACTCTGAGCAGCAAGAGAAGGCAAGAACAGCGGCAGAAGAGATCTCCTTGGTTCACTCTACCAGCCTTTGTGATTGCTGACAGCCTCTAGTAAATAGTCCAGGCCCCACTTCTGTTCCCTGTTTGGTGTCTTCCAGCATCTGTTTCAGCAAGCAGAGGCATTGTGCAAGCCAAGGTGTTGACCGTTGGTCTCAGCTCTTCCGGCATCCAGTCTTGGAGGGAAAGGTCTCTGCAAGCAGCATCCCAGAAGTCTGATTTCCAGAATCTGCTGCTCTTACCACTTGTCAGGGAGGGAATATCAGCTCTTTTACAGTACTTCTCTGTCCTGAATGTCAAACAGAAAGTATCTCTTAGAGCAAAGGAAGGAAGGGAAGGAAATTTAATTTTGAGGCAGTATCCAGATGTCATTCCATTTCTCCAATCATGAGACTTCCTATTTGAGAGCTTGCTCTTTCCTGGGAAATGCTGTCTCTTTAACCTCTTGCATAGCATCTTATTGATTGCACATGAATACTCTCCTGACCTTAGTGATGAAGAAAAGACATGGCAACAATCAGCAGTGAGTTTTCTTTGTCCCCAAATTATAATCCCCAGGTACTGAAAAAACACTATTTCAGAGCCAATTATAATCCCCAGGCCCTGAACAAATAATATTTCAGAGCCAATAAAGGCACAGAATAAGCACGGGTTACCACAGTATTTTTCTCAACTTGGAAACAGTTTAGGGCTCAGGAAAGGAGTGGATGATGAAAAAGATTTGGGGCACTGGGAAGGGAGTAACAGGAGAAAAAGGAGAAGGTACTCAGAAGGAAAAGCCTATGTAGAGGCAGACCATTATGTCTCTTCCACTTTTAGAAAGTTTGCCATAGAGACCATCAGTACAACTCCAGTTCCTGAATAACCTGCCTACCAGACCTTCCTCAGATTCAATATTCCATCTGTCTTTGTGCAGAATCTCTTCCATGCCTAGACCAAACTTCCCTCCTCATCTGTCTTTCCTGATCCCAATTATTAGTACTCTCTCCCTTCGTCAAATTATCTTGTATTTACTTATCAGTATGCATATTATATCACAAGTAAAATGTAAGGTCCTTGATAACAGGGAAAGTTTCTTTTTTGAGGGTATTGTTTTTTTGTATCCCGAGCATCTAGCACATGCGGTACCTTGTACACAGTAGGCCTGACCTGCTTGGTTTATTTAAATTGGTTTTAAATTAAATACTAATAAAAATAATTATTAAATTTAATATAATGAATTATCTTCTTAGGCTGATTGCTTCATATAGGTGAAAAGAATAATGGCAACATGGCAAAACCCAATAGTATTAACTTTTTTTATTTTACTGGCGACAAAAAAAGACACATGATACTAATGTTTTCGATTAATGAGATTGCTCTATTTCATTCTAAAGCAATGGAACATTCCTACTAAGATGTAAGATTTACCCATAAGATATATGGAAATGCCAAGTTGAAGAAAATTGAGAGTGGATTTGAGAATTCGGAATGTTCCCATTGTAAAAGTAGAAAAGAAATTTTTATGGGATCATTTTTACTTTTCACAATATAATTATTATCTATTTCATATCTATTTAGTATTCAATGTAAAACCATTCCTCTTATTTTTCATACAACCCTTAACACTATTCACCTTTATCCATCTTGGCTTTTATTTTTTATTTTATTTTTTAATACAAAAAAGCTTTTGTTTACTGTTTTTATTCTATTATCAACTGCCATCTAGTGGCTTTATCAGAAGAATGCTATGAAGTATTCATAGTTCATTCCTTTTGGCTAGTCTAATCAATAGCATTTACTAAGTGCCTATTATGTGTCAAACATTAAAGCTAAATGCTAGTGATACCAAAAAAGGCCCCAAAATGCATGTTTTAAATTGACAGAGATTCGAAATCTCAGATCTGTAAACTTTTTTTCTTAATATATTTTAATAACTTTGTTGTTGTTGTTTGGTCGTTTCAGTTGTGTCCAACTCTTCATGACTCCATTTTGGGGTTTTCTTGGCCAAGATTCTGGAGTAGTTTGCCATTTCCTTCTCTAGCTCATTTTCAGATAGGGAAACTGAGGCAAAGAGGTTTACGTGACTCACCCAGGGTCACACAGCTAGTAAGTGTCTGAGGTTTGATTTGAACTTACAAAGATGATTCTTCCAGGACTCCAGGCCCAGCACTGTATTGATGTAGCACTCTGCACCACCTAGCTGCCATGATAACTTTAATTCAACATAACTAATTTCCTTTCTAATTCTTTGTAACATGGAAGAGGCAAGTGAACATGACAACTGTGTGTTCTGAGGAGTTGTACCCATGATAAAGTAACCTTGAATACACACCAAGGAAACGGAATTTTTGTTTGTTTCTGCTTTACTTCCCTCATTGTTGATGACAACCAGATGAACAAGAATGATTCTTAAGAGACCTCCCCCATCTTAGAGCTTTTTCCCCAATATTGACAGTTCTAACAATATTAAGTACAGAGAAATTTTTCTTTTGGGGGGGGGGGTTCTCCTTATTTGATTTTTTCTTTTTTCTTTTTTTTTTAATCAATTAATTTACTTTTAGTTTTCAACAATCACTTCCATAAGCTTTTGAGTTTTAAATTTTCTCCCCCTCCCTCTCCACCTCCCTCCACAAGACAGCATGCAATCTGATATAGGCTCTACATATATATTCCTATTAAACATATTTTCACATTAGTCATGTTGTAATGAAGAATTAGAACCAATAGGAGGAACCTCAAGAAAGAAGAAACAAAACAAAACAGAAGAAAAAAAGAGCAAATAGTATCCTTCAATCTGCATTCAAACTCCATGGTTCTTTCTCTGGATATGGATAGCATTTTCTATCATGGGACTTCTGGAGATGTCTTAGATCCTTGCATTGCTGAGAAGGGCTAAGTCTATCAAAGTTAGTCATCACACAACATGGCTGTTACTGTGTGCAATGTTCTCTTGGTTCTGCTCACTTCACTCAGCATCAGACTATACAAGTCTTTCCAGGTTTTTCTGAAGTCTGCCTGCTTGTCATTTCTTATAGCACAGTAGTATTCCATTACATTCATATACCACAACCTGTTCAGCCATTCCCCAATTGATGGGCATCCCCTCAATTTCCAGTTCTTTGCCACCACAGAAAGAACTGCTATAAATACTTTTGTACATGTGGGTCTTCTTCCCATTTTTGTGATGTCATTGGGATACAGCCCTAGAAGTGCTGTTGCTGGGTCAGAGAAATTTATTTTCAATAGTAACAAAACTGACCTGTAACTCTCAGACTTGTATACTTGCCCATTCCTTTCTGCCACAGAATGCCATTGGTTGGCTGTGTACAAGTGAGGCTAAAAGCTATGAAAACCCAATCTAAATCCTAAGAAGCTAAAGCTCCTGCCAGCCCAAACAGTCCTTTATGCACTAAGATATTTATTTTCCTTTCAGTCTGGCTATGCATTTGTTGACCCTGTTAGTCTTGAAGACCTGATAGTGAAAGAGATTCTCCTTAAGTTCTAAGGTTAGGCCTGGTGGTCTTGAGACAACCTTAAGGGTCTCTCCTTAAGGGACACTATAGCTCATAGAATCTATTCATGGAAGAATATTGACAATATTTTTTAAGGCAGCCATCTATCCAAAAAATAACAACTTTCCATTGTATTTATGTACCACAATTTGCTTAGTGTTTTTCTCCCCATAGCTGTATACCCCCCAATCTCTTGAGTGCCGCAAACCCTAACGTGAAAAGTGGCCAGCTCCAGTGGTCACCAAA